GAGCACCACCTCTTTAGCCGCTTCATCAAACACCTGATGAAAGGACGGAGACACGTGCAGGTTTGTTTTCATGGATCTTACGTTTGATTTAGGTCATTAAGACAAACTGTTGTTTGGTTCAGCTGGTTCGGACTTTTACAAACAAACCAAGAGGAGGAACAGCTGATTTTTAAAGCACCTTTAATGGTTTGTAGTCAAAAACAGGATTTAGAAAAATAGGAATAATAACTTGGAATAATACATTTAAAATGGTCTCCTCTTCACTGTGTGTATGAATAAATAAATAAAATCACCTTCAACATCTCAGTCGGAGCCTCAGGCAGGAAATAGGCCAAAACATGCTCTCTGGCTGCGAGGTCTTCATAGTTCACAACCAGACTCTCCTTATTCTCTGGAATGACAGATCAGACAAACCAGACATCAGTCACGTGTCCACGACAAAGATTTATTTAAGTGTCCTTACATTTCAAGAGCTGAGCTACCTTTGCACATGTCGCTGATCTTCTCCTTGAAGACGTTGTGGCCGTTTTCGTCCACGTGGGTCCGCAGGAAGTTCTTGAAGCGGTTGTAGATTTCCAGCCTGGGAGCCGCCATGGAAACCCACTCCCTCACCGTGTGGCCCTGCAGGGCGGGAAAATATCATTTAGACTCTCTACCGCAGCTGGAACCTGAAACGCTGCATCATCATTACTTTATTACACCAGCAGCATCACAAACCTTCATGTCCTCCAGGTTCTCGATGCTCTCTATCATTTCCTCCTCCTCTCCGTCGACGCCCTCTGCTGCCCGCTCAGCCAATCGCCTTCGCCGAGCCGCCGGGCGCTCGTCATCCTCATCTTCACTGTCTGGATAACGGCAAAATAAAAAAAAGTTATTTATTCTCGCCCTCACACCGGTCTGCTGAGAGTTAGCATCAGGCTACAACTTTAGCTTTCTTTTAAACTTATATTTGTTTACATTTTGGTGAATTAGAAGCATCAAAAGTTGTCGATTTAGCCATTAGCTGCTCCTGTTTCTGATGCACCCATGGATGCATCATCATCAGATCTTCAGATCACACTGATACTGGAGAAAACTTAAAAATGGACTGATTCTCAGGCAGGTTCTGCAGCTATAAACAGTCTTGTTTCTACCATTTCTAAGTGGATCTTCTGTCCTCAGTCACTTTAAATACATGAATATTCCCCTCACCGTAGAGCAGTCCTCTCCTCAGCCGCCCGCTGATCCCCTGCTCCCTGTCCCTCCTCCTCATGGCCTCCTCGGCGGCGGCCCGGGCTCCAGGCGACATTTCCGACAGATCCTCGTCATCCAGGTCCAAACCCTCCGCCTCGTACTGATCCAGCGCCGGGATGGCACGGTAATCCCTGAACAGAGAGAGGAGTTCATCTGGTGTCTAAACAAAAAACTTAATATGATATTTGAAATTTAGAACAAATCCATCGCCCGTCCTCACCTCTCCATCCCGTCCCCGATCAGCTCCTCCCCGTCTCCGTCCTCCTCCTCCTCTCCGGGCAGGGTCCCGTCCCCCAGCAGCCCCTCTGACTCATCCTCGAAGGGCGGCAGGTCTCGTCCGGGGCTGGACGTCAGGTCTCCTCTCCTGGAGGCTCGGCTGGGGCTGGTGGCCATGTGGAACGACTCAGAGGAATCCTGATGAAAATAAACACATTACTCTTTTTAAAAAAATTTTTATTTCAAAATTATAACTGATTGTATTTATTTATTTTTTTTGTAATCGAACCCCTTTTAGTGTCTTTGCCCCATTTGTTTTTGTCTTAATGCGAGTCATAAGAATTTACAGACAAGAACTTACATTGACTTCCTGGCTTTAAAAAAGATCAATAACTGTTTTTATTTTGTGTTTCATTAACTAAAATTCAACATGTTTGTATCTTTAAATGCAGATGATTCATTCAGAAGATGGAACCATTGTTATTTATGGTGGAAAATAACTAAGTACATTTTCTCAAGTACTGTAAGTACAGTTTTGAGGTAATTTCACTTTATTTACGCATTTTTATATGATGCTATTTAACAGATCTACTTGTCTACATATAAAGATAAATATTTCAACAGTTGCTAATTACATTGCAGATTAAGACTTTACATTAAAATCAAATGTTCAGATTATAAAATATGAGGCAACCAACCCAGTGTACAAGAATCGACATTAAAACGTTTACGAATAAGCAATAGTAAAAATAATATAATAATATAACGCTCAACCTGCCCGTTCTGCATAATGTGAAGTACTTTTTAAAGTTATAGTATTTCTTATATTTCATAATAAAGGCTGAACTGACAGTCATCCACAAAGTTACCAACTAACTTTAAAAAGGGCCTCAAAGTCATTTTACCTTCTCAATAGCATCTTTTCAGTAGAAATAAATGTGTTTCCTGTTTGTCTTTAGAGTTGTTTTACTCTCTCTCTTTAACGTGGTTAAATGCCTGAGAATAATGTGCCATGATAACAGAAAGAGATGCAAGAAACTGTAATAACAACAACAACAACAACAACAACAATAATACTGGCAGCTGCTGCTGTAATAATGTAAGATGGAGAATTATAATTAGTCACCGACTCAATAACAGTAATGGTCGCCACATGAGAAGCTCTTTTCTACATTAGACACATCTTGCTGGTGGTTTAAACATGTTTCGTGTGTCTTATCTGTTATTCTCTAATATCTATTCTATTTCTAATTTATTTGCTTTTGATCCACAGACGTTTGAACCGTAGATTTTAAATGAATAGATCTGAACTGGCACTTTGCCTTTGTTTAATTAAACAGGACAAAGCTCTGACAGCCACATGGCAGGTCTGCTTTTCTTTAACAACGAGAACATAATCAAAACATATGCAACAGATAAACGTCAGACTGAGCAGATTTAAATTTTTCAAGCGTTTTAAAGCTTTTTAATTCAGTTTTCTGACAGAAACAGTCTGACTTTCACCCCGTCGTCCATTGTTTTGTCGCAATAAAACTACGAACGTCAAATGTTATTCACTATAACAACTACAAACACATATTATCTGTATTATTTAACTTGTTGCTCCTTCAGTTGACAAATTAAAACAAGAATCGACTCTTTTTCTCCGTTTTTTTATTGTTTTCACTCACCGCCATCGCTGCGTGTCTGTCTGTCTCTGCCTCTTGTGTAGAAACTTCTTCCTCCTGTCGGGAGTCGCTTTTCGCGCGAAACGTACCACGTGATACTCAAAGCCCGCGAAAAGTAATGAATATTCGATTAAGACACTGACGTTCTGCCTCCCGGTTGGCCAGTCCCCTGTAAAGAGGCGGGGACTTAGAGAACAGTGCGTTTGGTTCTATTCGCGCGCTCAGTGAGGCGCGTTCAGCCAGTGTCAAAGTGACGCCAAAGAATTAAAGCGGTGCGTGCTGCTATTGTGAAACAAACGCACACTTCTCTGACAGAGAGCGCAGGGGCAGAGTTTGTGACGTAATTTTTTTCCCGGGAACGTTTGGGCCGCATTCAAATCCACTCATAGCCTCACTTCACTGAGAGGAAACGGCTCAAACAGTTTCTCCTGCTCTTCTGCGTTTTAAAAACAAAATGAATCAACAAACATTTCAAGACAAACACACAGACACCGTACATATACATACATATATATATATATATATATATGTACATACATAAATATAAAATTCCAAAGCAGCAGTAGCTTATATCAGTGGTTCACAACCTTTTTGAGTCACAACCCGAGAACAATCAAGTACACTTTCCTGCTCTGATTAATAAATGCATGGAATATTTCTGGTCTTAAACCTGATTTTAATTTGAAATGCTGAATGGATATATGCAGGACCAGTGATGTCACAGGGAAAGTAATAAAGCATTTCCTTAATCTCATATCTTAATAGGCATTAAAAATTGGAATTGTAAAAAAAAAAAAATCATAAATGGATGATTAATCCATCAATAAATACTAAAGATTTAAAAATGGATTTACAAAAACAACATAAAACTTTCGTTGAAAAATGGGAATACACACCAGGAATCCCTCTTCAATTTCCATTTCCTTTTTCCAGCTGCGTTTCCTTTTCCTATTAGCTAATTGATTAGCTTAGTCATTTAGCTTATTCATGAATTAATAAATGTATTACTAAATGGTTTATTTAATGAGAGTTTTATGCTGTTTTTGTAAATCCATTTTTAACTCTGAAGTATTTATTGATAGATTATAAGTTAATTTATAAATTCTTTTTACAATTCCTATTTTTAATACGTATTAAAATATGAAATTAGGGAAATGCTTTATTATTTGTCTTGTGACATCACTGGTCATCCATAATATGCAATGTGATATAATATTATTAACTTACATTGTCTGATATTTCGAAACAGACAGCAGGACTAAACCAACACCTCAGGTTTAATAATCATCATTTATGACATGTTCACTCATTCATCAAATACAGTATAGCATCGTCCCTTTCAAACCCTGCACTTTAATATCTGTAACAAAACAAAACATTCATATTTACAGTATCAAAAACAGAAGATCTCCTCTTTATTCTGAAATAATAATTTAAAAAAAAAGAAAAGAAAAGAAAAAAATTTAAATCTCTTTGCAAAGTTTTCAGTCTAGCAAATAAATAAATATCACAAATTACTTTTCACTCATTGGTATCAAAATGGCCTCATCAACCTTCTGCTGAAACAGATGAGTGGTTTAATAAACACAAATCACAAAGAAAGCAACTGTAATCTATGTTTGAGGTTGACAGTTAATATGATTTCATACGGGACATTTGTCTTTGCTTAGTCAGATTTTACATGGAGGTCGATATATGAGTATTTTCCGAAATTTGATGTTACTTAAATCATCATTTTCACATGGAGACTTCATATCAATGTCCACTTCATTAGGTAAACCTGTACAATCTAATACAACTGATCTGTCATAAAGTCCACTTTTATGTATGTATATATATATATATATATACATATATATGTTTTTTTTTTGTTTTTTTTGACACTGTCCTTGGTGAAAAAGGTAAAATATATATTTATTACTGAGGTCACAGCCTTCAACATGAGGGGCAGAATATTAGAAACACCTCCTGACATAATGCAGTCCAGCACAACTTTAACTGACAATTATATAAAAGCAGACTTTATGAGATTAACAGTTGTACTGGATTGCATAAGATCAGTGACCACAGAGTAACATATAATAACATCACATATGTATATGAAGAAAACAATCTTTAAGTTGCTATGACAACACGTCTGAGTGTTTAAGGCTTATTTTAGGGATGATTTTGAAGTAGATGTACGTCTGGTTTTTTTTTTTGTTGTTTTTTTGGCATGATTTTCTGAGGAGAGAAGTGATCAAATATCACACGCAAAGATGGGAAAACGTTAGAGACAGCTTGTCCCAAATCCAAACTACACACTAACTCTGAGCACGGTTTGAGTATGTAACGTGTTCACACTGGAGATGTGACAAAATCATGTGTATTCAAAATAGTCAGTAAGCAGTACAGATGATTTCTAGGTGCTGTTGATCGACACATTCTCCCAAGAGGAAATAGCAGAGCTGCTCACAACCGTCGAAAAGGAAATCAAAATAAACAGCAGTCGGTGACGAGACAGATGTTTCTGGTGGAGACCAAAAACAGAGCTAAAAGAGCGGGAATATACTGGCAGTGAGTCGTAGTGTGTGGTTTGGATTTGAGACAAACTCTACCAGCAAAAAGTGTTTTAGTTGCATTTGTATAAAGTTGGAGAGGATGGCAGGTATGAGCTTGACTTGAAAATAATAAACTTTAAGAAAACGTTTGACATTTTAGGAAATAAAAAAAAGATTATCTGCTTTCTGGTGTAAGTTTTGAGTTTGTAACAACAGAGAAAATACAGTGACATGAAACTTTACTGCTTAGCTTGTTGCCACGTTATGAGCCCAAACTTTCCTTACTGACTGAAACTGTGGCCTTTGTGAAAACTTCTTATCAAGCTGTAATTTTGACATGTAGCAAACACAAGGCCACTGCAGCAGCGGTTTCTTTAACTTGGTACAAAAAAATAAAATAAAATCTCCACAGATCCTGAACGTGAGCACTTCAGTTGTTTAAAACATTCACTGTTGTCTTTGTCCGACGTGCTCCATCTTAAGTAGAAAAACAAACTGTCCGGGGTTGAGTGAAGCGTTCACCGTCCCACTTAGTGTCATGTTGTATGTACCATAATGAGGTTAGTACTGGTTTGAGTGAGATGCAACACTGATCATGTGATGTTAATTAATGAGCAGAGAGTGTAAAATAAACCGAGTGAAAGGCAAACAGTAAGAAAGCGGTGAGAGAGATAAAGACAAAGAGATGAATGGACATTTGTAGGACTCCAGAGGAACTCTTTTCCTCTTCCTCTTTCCTGCCACTATGAAAACCAGTGTCAACACAAAGGTGATCAAATAAACATGAAACACAAATGTAAAATGTGAGTGGGACAGCTGGAGACTATCAGGAGTCATCACATCAGTGGGAATTTTCCCACAGTTTTAGGATTTTTCTGGGTGTTGAAAGAGGAAAAAGACTTCAGAATAAAATCCTTCTAGAGGGACACTGCATGAGAGTTGGTACTTCAAAATAAAAGCTGTCCATGATGGATGTTGCAGGATAAACAGAGTGTCAAAATAAAACTCTTCTAGAATGGCCGCAAGGAAGAAGGAGGCTTCAAAATAAAAGCAGCCCCCAGAGGCAAAGGTTCCCAGTTGGAGCGAGGCTTCAAAATAAGAGCCCTTCAGAAGAGAATGTGAAAAGAGGATAGTGATGTTGAGTTGCTGTCTCACACGGCAGAAGTCGGATTTCTACATCTGCAACATCTGCATGTGTGTGTCGTGTGTGATGTCGTTCTCTCGTTTGCATATGAAGTTGTACCAGACACACGTTCTGCGTTAATGTTCGTCTGTGAAAGACTTTTATCCTCCTCAGTTTGTGTTCGTTCGCTTTGAGGAAGAGTGAGACCTCGAACAGTTTGTCACTACCTGGCAGAGACTGTAGGAGTGTGTGTCTGTGTGTGTGTGTGTTTTATTTAAGAACTAGTGTCGCCTCAGAGCCATCTTTCCTCTTCAGGTACAGGCCGTAGGTGAGGTGGTGCTCTCTCCTCAAGAAGGCGTAGAAATAATCAGACACCAGCAGGATCTGAGGGGAAATACAGATAATTAGGACACTGACGATTTCACTCACTGAATGATTAATGACAGGAACTGAGGAGTAATTACACTCTTAATTAATTACATTTTAATAATCAATCAATCATCAACCATAAAGAGGGATGAATTTAGAAACAAACAGCGCCGGTCCAGACTGTCCTACCTGAGCCACGTTGAACAGCAGAGTTATGGCGTAGTAGAAGTTGGAGTTGGCGCTGCCGGCGTAGATCCAGAGGTGCCAGAGAACCGGGAACAGAGCCGAGCAGGCCAACAGGACGCAGGACACCAGGAAGATGTTCCTCAAGACTGAACACGGAGAGAAACCAGGAGAGAAGGTTTTAAATCACAGCAACAGAAATTCATATATTTATTACTTTGCTGATCATTAGTTTTATTGCTTGTTGTTGTACGATTCGTTTTTATCATTTATTTTTGTAGTAAATGTAACACGTAATAATGGCTGACACGTCCACAGCAGCTCATCACCCAGCTGCTGCTGCTTCTCTAAAGTGGGAGCTGATGTGAATCTACTGCAGGTAACACACTGACTGTAGATCAGTACCTCACACAACCCCATGACAAATAACCACAACCATCACTTTAACCTCCATCCAAAGGTGAAAAGCAGCTGGTGAAACCCAAAACAAAAGAACTACTGATGAGGACGTGGTGTGAACTGTGTGATCTTTAATGCACGAACATCTTGTGTTTTAAAAACTCACATCTGTGCAGGTGACTCCAGACAGGAAGGAAGGCCAGGTAGAGAGCGATGTCTCCCACTGTGGGGTAAGACTTAAAGATGGAGATCACAGCCAACTGCATGAAGATCAGAAACACTGGATGCTCCCTGCAACACGGGCATACACACTTACATTAGAGCAGCACAGCTGAGTCAGAAGGAGGTGACTTCCCAACGTGCATTATATTCCTGTGTATCAAGTGTAAACCAGACCAATAACATGTCAGTTGAATCAAATGATGATTGTCACTCAAGGGTTTTTAGTAGGTGGCACTATGTCTATGACTTCATATTACCATGCAGAATTCTTCAGTGTGGGTCTGTCGTCAAACACGTGAAGTTTGAGGCAGATTGGACGATGTATATTTGCGTTATAACAACTTCCTGTTTCATGCATGCATCAAATTCGCCACGCCGTTCAATGAACAGCCAGTTTTCACACTGAGGCATCAACAAAGTCTTTAGCATTTTCTGATCAAGTTTGTGGTCAGGGTGGTCAACCCTTTAGGAGGAGTACATCAAACTGTAAAACGTGACAATGTGTGCTGGAGTTATAACAACTTCCTGTTTCATGGCGAAACATCGAAATTCACCACTACAGCCACGGCGTTTAACAAAAACTCACAATTTTCACAGTGAAGCATCATCGGGATAGAAAGCATTTTTTGACCATTGGATTGGACAATGTATATTGGAGTTACAACAACTTCCTCTTGTGAAATTCACCGCACCGCCACAGACATGCCCACATATGTAATCTGACAATTTTCACGATAAAGGATCATCAGCGTCTGAGGTATTGTCTGACCAAGTTTGAGGTGGCTGTGGTCAACCTGCTGGGAGGAGAACAACTTACTTGAGTTTGATGGACAGAGGGATGGTGTAGAAGAAAACGTTGATCTGGAAGACGCAGAGGAAGAAGAGGCGGAAGTGTTCAAACATCTCGGCGAAGAAATACCAGAAGAGGCCGATGTTGGGGGTCAGGTCTGGTACCGACAGACTGGAGGGAGGGGGATGGAAAACAGACACTGTCACACCGGGACGACACACAGACCGGAAACGCTGCAGGAGCCGGAGACATTTACTGGAGGTGTGATCATTTTCCAGAGTTGTAAAGCTGTTCAGAGGAAGCGGCTATAACCATCTAATGAGGCTTTAAAATGAGTCTGAACACGATGTCATTGTATTTGTATTTCCTTGGTTAGGGCTTGATTTTCTCTGCCGGATGGGGAACAGGATTTTCCGGGCGAGAACTTTATTGTGGCGGCGGTCGCAGTCTCAGCAGGTGATTTCACAGCGGACGGACTCACTTTGGATTCTTCTGAGAGTCAGACGTGAATCAGAAAAAACCTAATCAGCAAAACCTCTGACATCTAACAAACGTGTCGAGTGTATTTCCTTCCTCACTGAAACCTGCATTGTTTACATCCATGTTTACTTGTGTGTAAACTGTCTCCTGCTTTCCTGCCTCTGTTGGAACATCGCCGTGTTCCTGCCTCCTGTGTGTTTCTATATCTGTGACAAACCAAAGGAGGAACCACTCATTTAAAAACTACAATTACCACCTTTTGGTTACATCCCTGTTTTATCCAGAGTCACATAAAATATCAACCGTTTGTTTGAAATTTTGTCATAATTTCATTTTTTTTTTTTATTTCATTTTGTCAAATGTGAGTTCGTCTTCGAGTCCAGGTGAATGTTTTTACCAAATTTGTAGAAGTTCCCTCAAGACGTTACAGAGATGTCGCGTTCACCACGACCTTGACCTTTGACCTTTGAACACCAAAATCTAATGAGTTCATCCTTGACTCCTAGTGAATGTTTGTGCCAAATTTTTGAAGAAGTTCCGTCGAGGTGTTACTGAGATATCGTGGAAAACCCGAAAACGATTAAAAACCTGCTTAAAATGAAATAAAAATAATAAATAAAATAATCAAACAAAAATAAGAAACTGCTCCATTAACTGCCCTATTAAAAGGTCAAAAGCTCCCCAGGTGCCTTTAGACTTTCACTTTCTTTCTGCACTCACATGAAGCCGTAGACGGAGGGCAGGTAGTCCCAGGAGCCGAGCAGGAAGAAGGAGAGGCCGACGATGACGAACAGGCTGCCCAGGTACATGAAGGCGTACTGAGCGATGAACCACCAGAAGCTGGTCCGCCGAAAGTTCACAGGGATGTACTGACGCTGGAGAAACAGAGACAGAGAGAAACTGATTCACACAAATCTACGAAACGACATTCAGATCTTTGAGGAAGGACAAAGGAACAGGAAGAAGGAAGAAGAAAAGAAGAACACAACGAAGAAACACAACGTACCTGCATCAGGTACAGCAGCGCTGGAGCGCACAGAGTCAGAGGGTAGATGGACTGATACGTGGCCAAGGACAGAAATATGGCACTGAGCAAAACATTTCCTGCAACACAAACACAGAATCACCCAAATCAAATCAATCAAACGATCACTTTGTTTTTTTTTTTCTGTTGCAGGTATTTTAGCAAGATGCCGGATCCAAACCATGTGCCGGAATAATCCTGTCATTAAATCAGACTGTACCTTTTATCGTAGAGAGGATGAAGAGGGCGATGACGGCGTTGTTCAGGCCGCAGGTCGACTTGGCGACACAGGACAGGATGGTGAACGGGTTCAACAGATAACTGTGAAGAAGAATGAATATAAGAAGAATATAAGAATATATTTTGTATATTATAATACACACACACACACACACACACACACACACACACATTTATGAAAGTCTAACAACCATGAATATATGAAAGTTCACAGTAATCCTTCATGTCTCTGTAGTGGATATTAGAACGATGAGTTATGAACTTTTTTACTTCACATTTATGCAAATATTCGTCACAGATTATTCACTATGTGGTTTATTTGGACAAATTATACAACAATATTTCCTCTGTGGTTGTTCAGGCTTCATTAAGCCTTTAGGCAAAAGACTAAGGTGGAAGAAATGCATCTTTTCTGGCAGACAGCGGAACAAGACGTCCCTGGAGTCTGAACCTAACCCTTTTACCAAGTTGTTTTTTTTATTTTTAATGATGATGGAAATCTGCTTCGAGCGTATTCTGCTGCAAACAGTTACTTTTTCAAAACATCCTCACTTACATAAGAAGATAAAGAGACGCTGCCTCATTCATCAGCAGGCTAACGACTGTGCAGGATTTTGTTCAGAGACGTTTTTAATTTTCTCTGTTGGTTGACAGACACATAATATTGTGTCGCCTCATCGCTGCTGTGAAGGAGTGCGTCTCGTGTGTTCGTGGTACTCACAACATGGCGACTTTCAGAGGGATGTAGTACATTTCTTTGGGGCTTCTGATGAGCTCCAGACAGTCGAGGGGGTAGCGGTCGGCCTCCAGGGCATATTTCTGCTTTCTGAACTGAAACAGCATCAACAGCACATCAAACACTGTTACTATAACAACCGGGAAACACAACGCAGCCAGGGCTACGATACAAAACACAAAATCACACACAATATAAGAATTTCAGCTACTTGTAATTGCCAATTATAAATCTGTTTGTAATAACATTTCTTATCAGTAGTGCTGGGAAATAGAGTTGAAAATGGAAAGTTGTCCATACACAACAATCATCATTTACTCAGGAGCTGATAGTAAATGATAATATTGAGTTTTTGCACGATTCTATTTAATATCAAATATAGTTTTTGATTATTTCATCTGCACATTCTATTATTTTCTTACCACTTGTTTGTTGTAGTCCTTCACTGCCATGTAGAGCGCCACAGCAGTGATCACATCCGCCAACTGAAGAGACACGACAAAGAAGCAACTGAGTCTCTCAAAGAAAATCCCAGGGATTTGCATCTCAATCTGTTTTTTTATTTTTTACTCAAACGCTTAAAATGTCATTTTATTCCATCTCAGAAAATAAAAGAAATGTTTGTTGGTTTTCCCACTGGATCATATGAAGAGTATTCACACCAATGTGTCTCTTATAAATACATGAGACGGATGTTTTCTGTCGTCCCACTCACCATGAATGTCACCTCTGCGAAGTCCACCACAAAGTGAAAGAGGTAAATGATGAGAGGAGTCTGAGGAGAAAACAGAGTATCAGAGAGATTAGTGTGTTTGTGTTGGACCTGTGTATCAGGTGCACGCTCAGGTCAAATTAACATGTTTAGCTAAAACTATTTACACTGTCACTTCCTCTACATTTGACTTATAAGCAACAAAACAGTAAGTGTGACTGTTGGCTGCTGTGGACGACGTACAGGTTGTGTATAATGGGAAACTTGCCGCCCCCCCAGTCATAGTGGAAATTACCCTCTTGGTCATAAATGTCATTAATCAATCAATCAGCTTTATTTGTATAGTTCCTTTCATACAAGCTAGTGCAGCTCAAAGTGTTTCACAAGTTATTGATACAACAAAAAACAAAAAAACAACGCTGATAAAAATGTCAATAAAATACAGTAAATTTTACAAGCTATAATAATAATAATAATAATAATAATAATAATAATAATAATAATAATAATAA